GGAACAGTTTGTTGGAAGGAAAGTTAAGCCAACACACAGTTGGCAACAGTGGAGCAGAAAAGGAGTGGGCAGCTTTCAGAGATTTGGTGTATAGCCTTGCATTTGCTTATCTGGGTCAGAACACTCACAAACATCAAGATTGGTTTGATGAAAATGATGGGGAAATTCAGAAGCTGCTAAATGAAAAATGAGAAGTAGGATAGTTCATCCATCTCTAAGAAGGCAGCATTTAATTCAATCCAAAGTAAAGTATAAACAAAGTTTAGAGAGATGCTGGATTCTTGACTCTGTAAGAAAGCAGATGAAATTCAGTTTTATGCCGATAGTAACAATCCGAAGCGTTTTTATGATGCCCTGAAGGCTGTTTATGGGCCAAAGACCTATGGTGCATCTCAACTACTCAGTGCTAATGGAGCCACATTGATTAGTGATAAGGACATGATCCTAGAGAGATGGGCTAAACACTTCCATAATGTTCTCAACAGACCATAATCAATCAATGCTGAAGCCATAGACCTCAGGTTGAAGTCAATCCCTCCCTAGCTGAAGTTCCAACTGAAGAAGAGGTTTTGAATGTCATTAGGCTCCTTTCGTGTGACAAAGCACCTGGTGCTAATTCTATTCCAGATGAGATTTACAAGGTAAGGAGTCCATTGCTCATATATAAGCTGACTGAAACTTTCCAGGTTATATGACAAGAGAAGGTTATTCCCAGGAGTTCAAGGATGCCCCCATTGTCCATCTCTATAAAGATAAAGGAAATAGATTGTCCAGTGACTATCACAGACTATCACTCTCTTAGTCATTGCTGGGAAGAATTTTTGCCAGAGTCCTCCTTAATAGGCTGATCCTTCACCTGGAAGATGGTCATCTACCTGAGATCCAATGTGGCTTCAGAAAGGGCTGAGGAATAGTCGATATGGTGTTTGCTGCCCGATAACTCCGGGAGAAATGCCAGGAGCAGAACAGAGGTTTGTATACAACATTAGTAGATCTGACCAATGCCTTTGATACTTTCAGTCATGAGGGCTTATGGAAAATTATGTCAAAATTTAGTTTCTTGGAAAAGTGCATCAGCATTGTATGTCAGTTTCATGATGGTGTGCTTGCCTGGGTTCTAGACAATGTTCTTGTGTTTTCTTAGTCACCAATGGAGTGAAACAAAGCTGTGTACTTGCTGCCATGTACTTACGCATGCTGTTTTCATTCACGTTGTCAAATGCCTTCAATGAGAATGAACACAACATCAAGGTCAGCTGTTACACTGATGGTAAATTCTTCAACTTGAAAAGGCTACAAGCCAAGACCAAAGTGGAGGGAGTGTTGGTGCATGTTTCTGTCTGCAGATCATTGTGCACTCAGTGCAGCCTCTGAAGCTGAGATGCGACAAAGTATGGATTGAGTCTCTGCTGCTTGTGCTAATTTTGGCCTGACAATTAACACTAAGAAAACATAAGTGCTCCATCAGCCACCACCACACCATCCATACATGGAACCATCAGTTACAGCAAATGTAGAAGTTTTGAATGCTGTGGATGAGTTCACTTACCTTGGCAATGTACTTTCCTGGGATGTAGACATTGATAATGAGGTTGATGCACACATTGCCAGAGCTAGTGCTTGGGAGGCTCTGATGGAAAATATGAGAGAGAAGAGGTATTAGACTGACTATCAAACTGAAAGTCTACAGAACCATTGTGCTGACCTCATTGTTTTATGCCTGTGAAACCTGGACAGTATACCAGCACCATGCCAGGAAACTAAATCTCTTACATTTGAATTGTCTTAGGAAGATTCTGATGATTACCTGATAAGATAAGATACCAGACACTGAGGTCCTTTCTCAAACTAAACTGCCAAGCATTCAAACTCTACTTAAGAAAGTGCAACCCTGATGGGCTAGCCATGTTGTTAGAATGCAAAATGCATGCTTGCCAAAAAGACTATTTTATGGAGAATTCACACAGGGCAAGCGCTCACATGGTGGTCAGAAAAAGTGATACAAAGACATTCTCAAGATCTCTCTTAAGAACTTTGGAATTGATTGTGTGACACGGGAGAGGCTGGCACAGGACTGACAAGCATGGCGTGCCCACATCAGAGAAGGTGCTGTGCTCTATGAGCAAAGCAGAATTGAAGTGGCTCAAAAGAAACGTGAGATATGCAGATTTAGAGAATCCATCCCGAATGTTCACATGGACTGCTTGTGCCTGACCTGTGGTAGAACATTCTGAGTTCGCGTTGGTCTGATCAGCCACAATTGGACATGGCGTAACTTGACTCTTAGAAGAGTGATGTCATTTTGGTCTTCTTCGAGAATGAAGGACAGCTAGTCAACCAGCCATTGATAGAGTGCTTAATACTGCTAAGGATTTCCATTTCCTCCATTTCATTTGAGCCTCTAAACCAGGATTGGGCAAATGTAGGCCTCTAAAATAAGAAAGATTTTTACATTTTAAATTTAATCCAGGTTTGGCCCAAGGGCCCTCTTCACTAAACAACCCTGCAGGTAAATAGGTGGTACCAATGTTATTATCCTCCATTTAGCAGGAGAGAAAATTGTGGCTCAATGATATTTATAACTTGCCCCCAGTTTGTACCTCTGGGAGCCTGGGATTTGAACCCAGATTTTCTGGCTTCTAGTAAAGTGCTCTTTGCCCCTACTATACATTGCCTCTATCAAAAATTCATCCTTATTGGAAGAATCATCATGATACAGGGGGGAAGTGTTGGATTTGGAGTCACAAGACCTGGGTTTAAATCCAGTCAGGACATTTGCTGCCTATGGGCAAATTGTTTAATCTCTCAGGACCTCAATTTCCTCATCTGTAAAATGAGAGGACTGAGCTAGATGGCACCAGAGAGCCTTTCTAAGGTTAAATCTATGGTTCTATGATCTAAATGTATCCTCCAATGCCAGGAAAACTCTCTGTACGTATACAGATATTCACCCACCCATCCCTACCTCCTTTTCATGGAACCCTGCATAGACTCCTTAAACAGATTTCATTTTGAAATTCACTCCTGAATGGTCCTTTCGATGTGTCATCTGGCCCTGAACTCCTTTGCCTTACCAAGTCAGGCTCGGTCAGGGCCATGTTTCGCAGCCACAAAGAGGAAATAGTCCCTGCCTGACCAGGTAGATGACAGGAGACTTGTTATTGTCTGAATATACTTATTAGTATACATCTTCATAAGCTCAAAGAACTGTGTAAAGAATGAGACTTTTTTATGTAAATTTATTTATTTTTAGTTTTCAACATTTACTTCCACAAAGATTTTGAATTCCATATTTTCACCCCATCTTGCCCCTCCCCCCACCCCAAGATTGCATGCATTCTGAATACCCCTTCCCCTAGTCTGCCCTCCCTTCTATCTCACCCCCCTTCTTTTATCCCCTTCCCCTTCTATTTTCCTGTAGGGCAGGATAGATTTCTGTACCTCATTTCCTGTATTTCTTATTTTCCAGTTGCATGTGGAAACATTTTTTTTAAACATGTGTTTTTAAAACTTTGGGTTCCAAATTTTCTCCCTTCCTCCCACCCCACCCACCCTCATTGAAAAGGCAAGCAAGTCAATACAGGCCATACATGTGCAGTTATGCAAAACACTTCCATAGTAGACATGTTGTGAAAAACTAACTCTATTTCCCTTAATTCTATCTTGCCCCCCCCAATTTATTCTGTTCTTTCTTTTGACCCTGTCCTTCCTCAGAAGTACTTCCTTCTGATTATCCCTTTCCCAATCTGCCCTTCTCTCTATTATCCCCCTGCTCGAATGAGACTTTTTTTGGACAAGAATGCAATTTTGTTTTGCTCGATCATGCCAATTTATTACAAGTGATTTGTTATTTGGGAGGGGGGAAGTGAGAAGGAGAAAAAGTGAATTTCTATTCATTGAAAGAAAATTTAATTTTTTAAAAAAGAATTTACTGTATATATATACTGTATATACATACAAAAGAGGAAATGGAGACACTGAGTTTTTCATTTCTAAAGGTTCTGTGTTGCCTAGATAATAAATAGATGTCAGGGCTCTATGCTATGCTATTTTATTGTAACCCAGCTCTTCATGGGGGAAATAAAGGCAGTGTTACTGTATAAGAAAGATATCAGAAAATCAGTTTACCTTCCCACTTGTTGATTAGTAAACATTTTCACTGGGCTCTAGTCCTTCAGAGAGTATAGGAAGCAGATCCTGCATACTGCATGGCCAGTCATCTATAGGACATCCAATTTTCAAAATGCTAAAAAGTCATCACCACTAGTCATCAGTGCCTTTTAGCAATGAAAATACAGAAACTCGGGATTAAGTACTTTATGAAATATTCATTATAATGACTTTCTCTTTCAAGGTCTTATTAAGTATAACAGCACAATGTCTTACAACACAAAGGACGCTGTTAACCATGACAAACTAAGTTTACCCATGGGTAGCTAATAGATTTTTATTTCAGTACTACTATCCTCATTCCATTAATAGCCTGGTCTGCCAGTAAGACTAATTCCTCAACTCCTTCCATTTCAGAGAATTGGAAAAGGTTTCCTTTGCTTCTTCATAGTTCAAACAATTTAATTTGCTTTCTCTTGCCCAGGGATGAGTCTTTGGGGGTAAATCAGGAAGGAGCCAGGACTTGTCGCCTCACAAAATGTTATAATGAGAGCTCGCTAGTTGGCTAGGGAAACTTTGTGTGGAAAAAAAAAAATCAGAGGCCCTGATGAGGGGGGAAAGAGAGCTTTCCAATCTTCCTAAATTATCTCACTCTTACCTCCTATCTATTAGCTCTCCCCTTTACACACACACACACACACACACACACACACACACACACACGGTTCCAATCAGAGTCTTCATTAACAAGAAAAATGTCCATGTTCTTTTTTATTACCACAGGTTTCATATTTGCCTTTGCAACGAGTACGCCTCTCTCTAGCTCTTGTATAGTCCAGTTGTTTCGTTATGTAAAGGAGTTGTTCAGTTCTTTCTTGCCTGGTTTGGAAGTGTCTGAAGGACTTGGTTCTTGCAGCCTCATCTCCTTCCCCGCCCCTTCCCCTCTCTCCCCCTCCAGCTCCTGGCTAGAGGAGTGAGACTCTGTCAATCGTGGGCAAAAAGACAGAGCAGACAAAAGGTCGTTTGTAAAGAACTCCTTCCAGCCCCTCTTCTCTTCTCCTCCTGCTCAAACTCAGAGCTTGAGCATTTAATAAGACTTCTCTGCCAAGAAGATTGAAAGGGAGAGAAGAAGAAGAAAGGTAAGTTTGTGGGGTTTGGTTTGTCTTTGTTTTTTCTCATCTTATTTGTTCTCCTCTAAACTATCTGCTGTTGAAGGTGAGGGCAGAAAGAAATCCATGCTAAGCTGGATATGAAAGAGACTCTTGGAGAACCTGGGGCTGAAATGAGAAAAGAGACTAATTTTCAAAATAAATGGGGAAGCATAAGGGGTAAAGCTGAGGGAGAGAGTGGCATACCTCTCAGCAAGCTAGGAAAGTAATTTTCCTCCCTCAAGCAAAAAAAAAGAAAAGAAAAGAAATTTGACATCCAGCTTCTAACTGTTTGAGTGGATCTGGACAATTGTGAATGAGAATGGGTTTTCCACAGTGAGACACCAGCCTGCCCTTCAGAACCATGGCTTAGCTGTGGCAGATGAGAGACACTTAAAAAAAAAAATCAGTGTTCAGATATTTTCCTAGAATACATAAGCCAGCTTTAGTCTTATTCTGAAATTTTAGTCTTATTCAATTGAGAGTTTTTCTTTTAAAAAAAACAAGCAAACCTATAATTCCTAAAAAAAAGAAACTTAGTTTTGCTGTATAATATAATAATATAAAGAGTATGGGTAATATAATATTCATTGACTTCATCCTGGGCATCCTAACCAGGGAACACAGTGCCAAGATTATACCCTCAACATAAAGGAGAGTTTATCTTTTAGGTTTACTAAAATCTCTCTCTTTTAAGGTTCTTTGAGTATAAGGCACAGGAGTACCTAAAGCTATCTCCTTCTTCTATAATGACTTAATGTGGATAGGAAAGCAATTAGCAAAATTAAAAATTAATACATTACCTTTGCCCAAGTGTTTCAACCCCTTTCTTTACAACAATGTGATGAGAGAAGTGGTAAAAAGTACTGTTTCTCTGAAAGATGAGAAAACTGAGCCTCAGAAGGCAAGGTCATTCCGGTAGTGTATATCAAAGCCAGGATTGAAACCCAGGTCCAGCATTCTTCCTGCTCTACTACTTTGCTTACTCCTAAGCTTGCTGAATCCTGAAGGAAGACAATTTCCACAATTTTCACCAGGCTGGAAGCACTTTGACTTTAAATTTTACCCCTAATCAAGTTCTCCAATATGGTTGTGATCTGAATATGTCTGTAAAGGAATATCCAGCTTGAAAGATTATTGCCATGCTTTTAACCTGTGATCTCAGAAATTATAAGCGTGGCTCAAAGAATTGGCCATCCCAGCACAAATTTCTTTGAAGATAATAGAGGAGCAGAAGAGAAAACAGCCAGTTGTGGCATAGGTGGCACTGTGACTTTGATTTCTTAGAACTCAGCATAATTCTCTGGGATGATATTTTGGATTTCCTCAGTACTCTTAGCTCTCCTTTCTCCCATTATAGGATGTGAATGGAAACAAACCCAAATAGCCCTTTCTGTTTAACTCATCAACTCTTCTTCATTTCCATACCCTACATGCTGGTGCCCAGGAATGACATCAGCTGCCTGCCTCAGGGGATGGCAGCATCGACGGCAGAAAGCTCTCAAGTCGCCTGGCCCTGTTAGTTTTGGCCATTGTGGAGTGGGGGAAGGATTTTTCTTTTTAAATCTCCCTCTAGACCCAACCATTCCAAACTTTAGGCAGTGCCAAGGATCCTTACAGAACCCAGACTGGAAACTCTCAGTCCCTATGGTCTTGGCAAGGATTCCTGGCTCAAATGCAAGCCTTTCCCTGTTCTGCAGTTTCCTCGATAATATTGAAAGCCACATCAGCATCCCTTAGAAGACATTTAATGGTCTCTCCTCAATGCTTTTGGATTTTTAGGTTTGGGTGTTTCTGCGACTGAGGTACAATCAGTAGGAAAGTTTAAAGTACATGTGTTTGACCAAAGAGTCCAAGTAAATTAGTGCAGTTTGCTTCCCTAATTAGCCTGGGGAATTTTGCGTCTGTTAGCCCTGGAAAATAAATGGACTTTCTGGATGGTGTGAGGAGTGGGGCCAGGTTTGGCGGGGGGGGGGGGGGGGGGGGATGCAAAGCGTTAAGCTTGATGCATCTTAATAAGGAAAGCAACTGATACATCACATTCTTCTCCAGACATTCCCCCTCTGGCTGAGTAATGGTTGAAGCAATTTATCTGCAGTTAGTAATGGAGGAAAAGGATAATTCAGTTTCAACCTGTAATTTATAAAGTGTTAGAAAAAAGGAAAAGAAAAAAGAGCCCTTAGACAGTGTTTGCCAGGTTTGGAACTTTCCACCTCTGTGCCTGGCTGAGTGTGTGGCAGACTGCTTTATTCTCTGGCCTAGATGTGCTCAGCAAAAATATTTCCAGGGTACCTGTGCACACTGCTCAATTCATTCTGTCTCTTGAAGAGGACACTCAATATTTACAGTAACGAGTACTCCTGAGTATGGCTGGGAAATACAAAAGCAGCAGAAGGCGTGGTCTCCCCCTGCCCTCATTACTGCTAATTGGGGAGAAAAGGCTTAAATGTATGAGGGGAAAAAAGAGAGGAATTTCAAGGCACCATATAATAGCTAGCATTTATAAAATAGCTTGTGTTTATATAGTGCATTAAGGTTTGCAAAGGACTTTACAAATATTCTGTCATTTGAGCCCCATGACAACCCTAGGAGGTAGGTGCTATTATTATCTCCATTTTACAGAGGTTATTGGCCAGGGTCACTCAGCTTGCAAGTGGCTGAGGAAGGTTTGAACTCATGTCTTCTTGAATCCAGATCCAGTATTCCGTCTACCATATCACCTAACTGTGGATAGAATATATAGTGGAAAGAGTGCTGGTCAAGAGACCTGGGTTTATGTCCTGGCTTTGATGCTTCTATTAGCTATGAGACCTTGGGCAAGTCACAACCCCTTGGAACATCAGCTTCCTTATTCATAAAATTAATAAAATCATACTGTACTTCTTGTCTCTCAAGGGTATTATAGAGTAAGTGCTTTGCAAACCTCAGGGCACTTGCTATGTATGTGTATGTGTCTGATTTTGGTTGAGATATGTGACTTCATTAGTGGAGGGAACTTTCAATTACAGAAACTCCCTACATCAAAGTGTATTGTCATCTACTCTGTACCTTGGGCTCATACAGAGTTGTCTGAGGCACTGAGATGTTCATCACCTTACCTATGGGCATGCAGCCAGTAGGTGTCAAAAGCCAATTAAACCTGAGTTATTGTCATTGTGGTAGGGTATTCCTGAAGGTGGGGGAACATGGAAGAAAGCTATAATCAGAAAAGAGTTACAAGATAAAAATGGTCCTTGGGAAAATGCATCTTGACACTGAGACTAGAGGCAGGGAACCAATCTAGAAAGTTATTACTAGATTGAATAATTAGTGGAATACCAATTAGTTAAAGAAAAATAGTCAATGAAATCTTTACTGTGGTGATGGCATACCTAGATTTTAGTGAGGCATTTGGCAACATCCTTAAGAAGGGCATGAGTAAACTAGCCAGTGGTTCTCAAACCTTTCAGTCTCAGGACCCCTTTACACTCTTAAAAATTATTGAGGACCCCTGCCCCCAAGAAACCTTGTTTATGTGGGTTATTTCTATTGATATTTACTATCCCCTGCAAGGGTCTTAGGGACCACCAGAGGTCCCCAGACTATTTTGAGAACCACTGAGCATACAACATGTTCAGAGTAGAGTAACCAGGGTACTGAAAGGCCTTGAATTCATGACACATAAGGAATGGTAGAAGGCTTTAAGGACCTTTGCTCTGGAGATGAGAAGATTTGGGGTAGGGGGATGTGAATTTGTCAAGTGTCAAATACTTGAAGACATGAAAGAAGGGTTAGACTTGTTCTGTTTGTTCCAAAAAAAAGAATTAAAAGCAACCAGAAGAAATTGGAAAGAGACAAAATTAGGCTCAAGATCAGGAAAAATCTCACAGTAAATAGAGTTGCCCAAGAGTGGATTGGGCTGCCTTTCTTATTGGAGAGCTTCATATAAGGCCTGGATGCTCTTAATGTAGAAGGGATTCTTGATCAGGGCCGGGTGGGGTTACATGTCCCTGAGATACATTCCAAAAGTGACATTTTGGAATTTTGGGAAAGTCCCAATTTCTTCAAGAACAAGATAGAGAAGTATAAGATGAATGAGAATAGTTAGGTGGATTCAGGACCAGGTCATTGATCAGACTCAAAGTGTCAATTAAGAGAGGAAGGCCTCAAAGAATTGGAAATTGAGAGGATGCCCATCAATGGGGGAACGGCTGAACAAACTGTGGTATATGAATGTAATGGAATACTATTGTGCTATAGGAAACGATGAACAGGCTGACTTCAGAAAAACCTGGAAAGACTTGTATGGTCTGATGCTGAGTGAAGTGAGCAGAACCAGGAGAATGTTGCACACAATAACAGCCACGTTGTATACAATAACAGCCACATTGTACAATGACTAATATTAATAAACTTAACCCTTCTCAGCAATGCAAGGATCTAAGACATCTCCAAAGGCCTCGTGATGGAAAATGCTATCCACATCCAAAGAAAGAACTATGGAATTTGAATGCAGATCAAAGCGTACTATTTACTATTTTTTTTTCTTCTGTTGAGTTTTGTTTCCGCTTTCTGGTGGTTCCTCCTATTGGTTCTAATTCTTCCTTACAATATCACTAATGTGAAAATATGTTTAATAGGAACATATATGTATAGCCTATATCAGATTGTGTGCCATCTTGGGGAGGGTGTTGAGGAGGGAGGGGGAGAAAAATTTTAAACTCAAAAGCATATGGAAGTGATTGGTGATAAATCAAAATAAATTAATTAAAAAAATAAAGATGAGGAAATAGAAAAAAAGAGAGAGAGGAAGGCCTCTAGTGAAGGGCAGCTAGATTCTTTCCTTGGCCTGTCCTGATCAACATTTTTATTAGTGACATGAATGAAGACATAGATGGCATATTTATAAAACTTTCAGATGACAAGAAGCTGGGAAGAATGACAAGTACATTAGATGTCAGAATTGTTTGTTGTTGTTTTTTTAATCTCAATAGATAAGAACAATAAGGTCAAATCTTTTAAGATGAAATTTAGTGAGAATAAATGTATCCTTCTACATTTGATTTTGAAAAACCAACAATACAATGGGTGCAGAATGGCCAGAATCAGAGTAGATGTGGCCAGAGAAGAGTCATTCATTGGAGGAAAACCCAGAAGTTTTAGTGGCCTGAAGGTAAAATCTGAATCAACAGTGTGATGTGACCAACAGGAAAGTGCCATTTTAGATGACAATGACAGCAATGCCATGTACAGAATGAGAGAGGTGATAGTTTCCTTGTGTTCTGCCTTGGTCAGACCACACCTGGAGCTGTGTGTTCAGTTCTGAGGGCCACATTAATAGGTGGCATTTTACATAGTGCTTTACATTTGTATCTCATTTGAGCCTCATGACAACCCTGGGAGGTAGGTACTATTATTATCCCCATTTTATGGATGAGGAAACTGAAGCAGACAGGTTAAGTGACTTACCCACAGTCACACAGCTAGTGAGTTTCTGAGGCAAGATTTGAACTCAGGTCTTCCTGACTCCAGGCTTGGGGCTCTATCCATTGTAAAACCTAGCTGCTATTTGACCAGCAGCTTATCCAGAGAAGGACAACTAGAATGCAAAGGGACTAGGAACTATACTGTAAAAGAATCCATTGGAGAAAAATACCACCACCAAAAACAATTTACATTAAGGTTCACAAAATACTTTCCTCTCAAAAAAAAAACTGTGAGGTCAGTAGTGTATCATTAGCTCCATTTTCTGAATGAGATAACTGAGGCTAAGAGCAATTACAAGAGGCAGAATTTGAACACAGATCTGCTAACCACAAACCTACTGCTCTCTTTACTATACTATGATACTTCTCCCACCAAGAAATGGGAAAGGTAAGGGGAGGAAATAAGCATTTATTGAGCACCTATTCTACTCAAGGCACTGTGCTTAAAGCTTTACAAATATCGTCTCATTTGATCCTCACAGCAGCCCTGAGATATAGGAGCCGTCATTATCCCTGTTTTACAGTTGAAGAAACTAAGGTAGCAGAGGGTAAGTTACTTGCCCAGCTGAGGTCAGTGTCAGAGGTGGAATTGTCAGAGGTCAGAGTTCTCTCCTAACTCCAAGTCCAGAGCTCTTTATCTAGCAAGACATCTGGAAATGCAAAAGTCTTTATACTGTTAAGTGCCCTCATGGTAGATATATATCAGGCTCTAATCTCTAGAAGTAATTTGGAATAAGAGTAACTGAAAAAATAAAGTCGTTATTAAGATATATTTACCCTTTTTGGTGAAGATATGACCTGTTCCCTTATGGTAGCAAAGAACTAGAAACAAAATCAGTGTCTTTCAATTGAGGAATAGCTGAACAAATTGTGACATAAGAATTTAATGGAATAGTAGAATGCAGTAAGAAATAATAAAGTCAAGGAATTCAGAGAAATATCAGAGTGGGGCATTTACATAAATAGTGCCATGCACTTTATAATTATTACTTTATTTGGTCTTCACAGCAGCCATGGGAGGTAGGCACTGTAATTATTTCCATTTTACAGATAAGGCAAACAGAGATGAAGTGACTTTCCCAGGTTTATAAAGCTAGTGTCTGAGGCTGGATTTGAACTCAGGTCTTCCTGACTCCAGGCCCAGTGCTCTATCCACTGAGCCACCTAGCTGCTTCGAAATACATATGACATAAACATATCCTCTTAACTCCAATTCCCATGTTCTATTCAGTATGGAATGCTGTCTCTCAAGGAGTTGATATTGGGAGGGGAGGAAAGTATAGCCAGAGCGGGGATGAAGGCCTCGGAAAGTACTGAGGGATGGGGAGGGGGGGAGATTGGAGGTGTCTGTGAGGATAAAGAACAGGGTTAAAGGTTATAAAACAAAGGGAAAGATGGAATTACGATCTGCTAAAGGAATTTGAAAGCTCATGAAGATGGAAGCAGAACATTTATGAGGAATGGCAAAATAAAGGGTATGACCATCTCTGTGTGTAACTAAGGTAGAATGGAAGGGTAGGTCATGGGAACTGAGTAGACTGAGGACCTGTGAAGATAGGATATTTCAGTAAACATCAGGATGTATGTTGATATCCCTTTATATGTGGTCAAGAGTTGGGGAGGAGAGAAAGACTATAAACCAGCTACTGAATTCACTAAGGAAGGAAATAAAATCACTTGGAGTATACAGCCAAAAAAAAAGAAAAAAGAAATACATATGACATAAACAGTCCAAAGAGTAACACACAACTACAATTATGTAAATGAAAACATCCTAAAGGGAATGCTACAGGGGTTGTATACCTTTTCAGACAGTCACAATATTAGTCGTTTTTACTTCGCCGTTTTTCTATCTTATGAGATGTGGGTGAAGAGAGAAAGGTTATATACAAAATGAATGTGAAATAAATCATGGGATCATCAGTCTAGAGTTAAGAGGGTCCTCAGATTACCTCTAGTCCAAACTGCTCATTCTACAGATGGAGAAACTGAGGCTTTGGGAGGTAAAGTCACTTGGGCAAAGTCACACTACTAGTAATCGTCAGAGATAAGACTTGAACCTATGTCTTCTAACTCCAGACCAATTCTCTTTCCATCGTACTACAAAGATTTCAGAGCTAAGTCATTCCACAGTACCATGCTATCTCCTTCAAATTTTGTTATTTGTTTTACTGACAAGGAGAACAAGTTGAGACAGAGGGTGTTTGCCTGAGTCAGAAGATTAGAGGCAAAGAACAGCACCTACAACTCAGCTTCCTGACCACCATAGAGGTAAGTACTTTTTTTCTACCTCACTGACTTCCAAGCAGACACCATTCCTTGAGGTGTCCAATTCTCTGTGATTTTATTGGAATAGGGAACTCCCATGGAGGAAACTCACTATACCAATGCAGATCACCTCCTGCTCTGCTACTTAAAGTCTGACAGGTACTGAAACTTTCAATGACTTGTCCACAATGACACAAGTAGGATGGTGAGACTTGAACTTGAGCCTTCCTGATTCTGAGATCAGTTATATCATACTAGGCCACCTCTCAAGTCATCAATAATTTTTTTAATCATATGAACTACCATATCCTTTGTGGACAGACTGGTGTGTGTCATTGATACTGATGTTAAGGATAGTGAACAAAGCATTTTGATTTTTACATCTATATTCTACCAAGTCTCAAAAAGCATCCTTGAATTCAGAATATGTTTTGTTTATACTTTTTCCAGGTAGAAAACCAAATGAATTGCATAAACCCTAAGGAATACTGATGCTAAAACAAGATCCTATATTTTAGGACATTTGGGGGTCATTAGAGTAAAAAATACATAAAAACAAATAGAATGGATGAAATGAATGAAAAGAATTTATTAAGCATTTACTATGTGTCAAGTACTGTGCTAAGCCTTGGAGATAGAAATACAAAACCAAGATACTGCCTGCCTTGTAAGAGCTTGCATCCTAATCAGAGAGGCACTCATGGAAGAGTGGTGGCCAGGGAAGAGGGCTGTGCTCTGGGGAAGTCATGGGAATGATGAGTAGAACAACTGCACCATCCATTAACAAGCTCTTTTCAGGCCATTTCCATCCCACACCACGGGCACTTCAGCCCTTATCCCAATGTCTCCTGCTAAGGAAACCTGGACTCTGCCCCCCTTGCCTGCATATCTCTGATAGGAGAGTTTTCACCTGTCTTCATCTAACTCTCCACACCACTTCTGAGCTATCTCCTGACCCTCCTTCTATCCTTCTACTCCCCCTCCCCTTTCTAGCTCTCCCTAATGTGTCCTCTTCCCAATTAGAAAGTAAGCCCCTTGAGGGCAAGCACTGTCTTTCTTGTTGCTTCCCAACATACTGCCTGGCATATAAGTGCTTAGTAAATGTTTTATCCACCCATCTACTCATCTGTTTTCTAGCTAAATAACTATCTTTCCTGAAGCAAAGGCAGTGTCAAATTGATTATAGTTATTATATGAAAAAGTAGAAAGGTTGAGTTGGGGGTGGAGGTGGGATGGAGGGTATGTACATTATCTGCAGAGGGGGGAGAAAGGTCAAGGTGAAGATGAAGAAGCATTGTCCCACAGAGCCCAATGGCTTAGTGACTGCTAGGTATGATCTCTGGTGCTGCAGGGAACTCAGATTACGATAGTGTCCTATTTTGATATATATAGTTGTAGCCAAAGAAGGGACCTTACAGATTGACTAGCCCAGCTGCCTTATTTTCCAGATATGGAGCCAAGGCCCAGAGAAGTTAAGGAACTTTCTCAATGTCACACAGGCTTAGTGATCGATTTGGGACCAGAATGTAGGCCTCCTGATTACCAATCCAATTTCCTGCCTGCTACTCCATACTGCTTTTACGGTCGTACAACAGTGACTTCCCCAGACCACACTTCCTGAAGGCCAGGGGTGCTATGTTTCACCCCTTCCCCAGAGTACTACAGTAGCATTAGGAAGGTTTACTGGTATCTAGTCTATCCGCTGTTGTCTTAATCCCCTACTAAGGGTGTTCCCCCAGTTTTAGGGTTCCCCTATACCCCTAGTTCCATTTGACCACTTAACAGATTAATTTTTACAACGAATATTTGATACAAAGGTATAGAAAAAAATATACAAACATCCTCTCTCCAACACATGAGGGCATAATCATGCTCCCTCCTTATCCCCTCACCTCTCAATATCTCTTCGGTTTCTAAGAAGGGGATAGGGATTAGGTTCACGGAATAACTCAGTTCCTGACTAGCGTAGTTCCATCAAGTTCCATGTTTCAAGCCTACCTGGGACTACCCTGCTGGACGGCCAGGAATCTCTGGCCTGGAACCGGCCTCCAAGGTCATCACGGCTTGAACTACGGCTCAGGAGGACTCTGCCACCGACACCGAGAACTCAAGAGAACAAATAGAGCAAGAACAAGACCCCAACCCCGATTCTGGGGGCCACAGGCCCCAAAGCGTGTGTGTAGGGGGTGGAAATAGTCTTCCCCCCACCCAACTCTGTTCATAGATCCCAAGCTATGGGTGAACAATAGCTTTAACCCCCTGAACATTGCCAGAAGGAGAAAGAGACTCTTCCAGGCTGACGCTTTTAAAGACAACCTGTTTCCATTATACAGCCACTGGAAAAGACTTCTCCCACATACTGGTAGGGGAATGCAAAACGTCTGTCAGAAGCAGGTCCCTAAAATCTCCCATTTGAGTGCCCGGTCTTAGGTGATCTAGGCAAAGCCCTGTTAAAATAGGAGAAAATATTTTTATTTCAAATATTTTAAGGGAGGTATTTTCACTAAGATAACTTATTATTTTCATTTCTCTATTTATAAAACTCATCTGAAGTTGCACCTAAGTGCAGGGAATTTCAGACAAAAACAATCTATTTCCAAACCACCAAGTGAAACTGGGAGTCTTATTTGAAGTCTTCTACATCATTTTCTTTTTTATCATTCTAATGAAATTCCTTCTTAGTAGCTGGCAATAGCTGAAGAAATTAATAACTGGGCATTCAAATTCGGAACCTGTAGTAGGTTAAAAGCTGCAGTTTCCTCACTGTTAAAGAGGAAACTTAAAGAGGCCTTATTGGATGATTGATAAATTATACTGAAAACATCACTTAGACTAATTAGAAACATCATTTATTCTAGAAATACTTTGCTACTACCGCAGAGAGACCGGACAGCACAATCTTGTTTTCTGAGTTTGTGAGAGTGTAGTGTAAGCTACTGTACTTTAAGGTATGACTTGCCCTTTTTATATAGAGTTATTTAGTGCTGAAAAGGACAGAAAAAGGACTGGTGCATAAAGTAAAATAATAATGTCAACTGGTAAGAGGTATAAGGTATTGTCTCTTTCAGAAATGGATATTTTGATGCCTGGAAGGTGAGAAGGAAAAGAATGTTCATTTAATTAAAAACTTTTTAAATGTGTTTTTAAAAAAATAATCAGATGGGATTCAGGCCATTTAGGACAGAAAATGAACTGTGACCTGAGTATAAAAACAAGCCCCTTTGTAAAAGATATAGGATGATGCCTTGTTTGCATGTGAATAGTTTGGTAGCTTAAAGGGAGCAGAGAAAGAACTTTTATTTATTACAACTGGGAAAATATGAGTTAAAAAAACACATAGTTCCAAGGATGCATAATGACACACATGAAGAGAACTTAGAGTTGCAGGGTACGCTCCTACTTTCATTTGCATACAGCTGATTTAACAATTTGGAGATTGAGGTATGATTTTTAAAGGACTGTTGCTATCATGATATGTCTATCATATATTTGGTGAGTTATGAACTTTTAAGTGAGAAATGAGTAAATGAGTATCAGGAGGCTCTGGTTTAAACCATTTAGACTGAGGTATAGAGATAACAGCCTGAGATGGAAGCTAAAGAAGGGAAGGGAAAGGAAAGGGAATAAGCATTTATATAGCACCTACTATGTGTCAGGTACTGGGCTAAGCACTTCACAAATATTATCACAGTTGATCCTCACAACAACCTTGCAAATTAGTCTGCTAGTATTATCCCCATTTTACAGCTGATGAAACTGAGGCAGACAGAGGTGGAGTGACTAGCCTAAGGTCACCCAGCTAGTTAAGTGTCTGAGGCCAAAGTTGAACTCAGGTCTTCCTGACTCCATGCCTGTCCCTCTTTCCACATCACTGGCTACCTAGCTGCTAAAGAGATTGAAGCACTTGTTACAAGAATAAATTGGTGGGATGGGGTGAAGAGCAGCTTTGTCTGAGATGTCTGAAAAGAGTACAGGCAGGAATGGCCCAGCCAAGCGAAAGGCTTCCCCTACATCAATACTGACTGTTTGGAAAGAACCTCAGTTGCATCGAGCGAGCCTCTGTGACACGCTTCTTGCTCTCTGCTGCCCTCCTCTGGTCGAGAAGGAAAAGCAGAAAGGGGAAAGAGGTTTCCTGCTGCTGCGCAGGAAGAAATACTGAGATGTCATTGGGTGTCGCGGGATCCTAGTGAGTGGAAAGCAGGATAGGCTATTTGATTGGTTCAGAATCAGCTTGAGCTGTCTTGCCGTGAGCTCTGTTTGCTACAATGCGATTGGACAACACAAGGTTGGTGTGGGAGGCTGTGGTCCTCAGAGAGTCAGCCTAACAAAGCTGGACGATTCTCTGGCTTAAATGGAACTAGGGACAAAGAAATTAATAGTCGATACTTTTGCGAAGTCACTTTAAGGAAGCTTTTCAGTTTGAAGAGCTTGTAAAGTTCCTCCTGGTTCAAGAGTTGAAGGGAAGAGGACTTACCCAGCTGTTGAATTGTAAGGATCCACAGACAATCAGTTAGCAGGGAAGCAGTTTTATGCGGTGCAAGGTTCCTAATTGGACCGGTGATACCAAGGGCAACAATAGTCCAGAGTTGTGACTCACTTCCAGCACATGAGTTTTCCTCCCTGGTACTCTTTCCTGACAGGTTCTCCCCCCGCAGATACTGAGCGCATTGGTGAGAGAGTACAGCTAGGCTCCATGTGGATTGTGATGGTATATTATTTACACACTTGCTGTACCTGTGATATTATTTCTTTTGCCTTACTGTAAATGGTTATGTTTAAGATCTGAAAGTGGCATTCTTGTGAATGACTGGTTTGTATAAACAGAAAGCAGCATGCAAAGAGGTTGAAGAATCTTCTCAATGTCACACAGAAATACACAGTGGCAGATTTGGGATTAGAATATAGGCCTCCTGATTCCCATGCCGTGTCTTGTCCATGAACCCAGTCTGCCTTTACGGTAACATGGAGGGCCCTGGCTCAAGAGGGAAAAGTGGTGGCTGACCCCTGTCCCAAAACCCATCCCAGAACCAGTGAGGACTCTCTCACCAACTCTATCTCAAATTATAGGTGGATGGAGGGAACATATTGACTCTCAACAGGGTTACTCCTAGTACAATGAAAGAGACGGAATTGAATCACAGGGTGGTGATCTTTCTCTGGGAAGCTAAACCTGCCAGTTTGAAAGTGTGAGTTTCAGTTCAAGGTCAAAAGTTTGAGAGTGAGTAGGTATCCACAAGCCTAGGTGAAAGGTATGGTGCCCTGTCTTGGGAGATACATCCTATGCCCTGGCCGTTACAATGGGATGGCAGATAGAATCTAGTGCAAACACTTTTGTTATTCTCCTTTCCTTTAGAGCTGAAAGCCAAAATGAAAATCACAGCCATGCTAGTTTTGCTGAATTTGCTGCTAGGAGGACATGCCTTGTCCACAACCCGTCTCTCTTGCTACCGGAAGATGTTAAAAGATCGCGACTGTCACAACATTCCTGAAGGAGTGGCAGATCTTAAACAGATTGATGGACACCTCCAGGACCACTTCTGGAATGGAAAAGGATGTGAGATGATCTGTTATTGCAACTTCAGTGAACTGCTGTGCTGCCCAAAGTAAGGAGGTTTTCTTTCAATGCCTTAATAACACAACAAACTTACATGAGAATGTAGAGAGCACCTCCTTTTATGTCATGTGATGTCACAGAAAGAACTCTGGATTTGGAATCCCAGGACAGGAATTGAATCCTAGATCTCTTACTGACTTTGTGATCCTGGGCAAGTCACTTAACCTCCCGAGACCTCAGTTTCCTCATTTGTAAAGTGAAGAGTTTGGACTCCAGTGAGAAGAGCCTGCCTCTGTAGTTTGAGGACCCAGGTTCAAGTCCTACTTGATAATTACTACCTTTATGACCTAAGAGAAGTCATTTAATTTCCCTAGGTCACAGTTTTCTCATCTTTGAAATGATGGGGTTAGACCAGATAGCTTCTTATTAGTAAGTCCCTTCCAACTCTAAAACTGTAATCCTGTGATATCTACTTAGTGGTTTTACTGAAAGTAAGTAGAAATGAGGAAGTTATATAATCATCTTTATTAGAGAAGCCCTGATGAAGACGCAGGGTTTGCATCAGTTTTAGGTGTGAATCCAAAGGGTTTTCACAAAAGAAATGGATTTTTTTTGCATAGTTTAAAAGGTAAATGAATACTTAGACCTATTTGAATCCTAAACTCCACACCAGAATTTTAATATGCACCCCCATGCTCAATCTACCACAAAGAGTGGTCCATTTTACCAGGAAGGATTCACTTCAGATTGCAACCATAGAAGATCAATAGGCTTTTTATTGTGAAAAAGAACATTTGGCCAGCAAGGCAGAAAAGTCAAAAGGAGGAGAAAGAACCTTGTTTTGCCTCTAAAATCATCTAGACTGAGCCAAACAAGCCGCTTGAAAATTCAGCAGCTGACGTGGAGATGGTTGGTAGAGCATGGAGTCCTGAAAGCTAACAGAGGCAGGTGAGCCAGTAAGGCCTTCCCCCCCACCCCCATCCCCAAATTATCTTTTGGTAGCTGTTGGACTTTCAGTTTCTAGAATCTCTCTCGAATACCTTTTATTCGGGGGGTTCAGTTAGCCTGTCGTAGTGCTTTCAGATTATAGGCTCATCAATCTCAAGACACAACCATGGACCATCTAGTCTAACTTCCCCCCCATCATGTTACAGAAAAGGAAACTGAGGCCCAGGAGGAAGGAAATAAACGTTTACTAAGAGCCTACTATGTTCTAGGGACTTTACATATATTATCTCATTTGTTTCTCACAACAACTCCATAAGGAAGGTGCAATTATTATCCCTATTTTACAGATGAGGATACGAAGGCAAACAAAAGTTAAATGACTTGCCCAGGGTAACATAGCTGGTAAGTATCTAAAGCTGGATTTGAACTCAGGCCCCCCTGAGTCTGGAGCAGCTAGGTGGCACAGTGGATAGACTGCTAGGCCTGCAGTCAAAAAGATTCATCTTCAAATCTGGCCTTAGACACTTACTAGCTATGTGCCCCTAAGCAAGTAACTTAATCCTGTTTGCCTCGGTTTCCTCAACTGTCAAATGAGCTGGAGATGGAAGTATCAAGTCACTCCACTTTCTTTGCCAAGAAAAGCGCACATGGGGTCACAAAGGGTCAGACATGATTCAACAACAACTTTCTGATTCCAGTCTCAGTGCTTCATCCACACCACTGCACTACCTAGCTACCTGGGAAGGTAAATTCACTTGTACAAGGTCATGCTGGTAGTGTCAGAGGTCGAATTTAAATCCCTATCCTCTAGCTCCAAAGCCACTTCTCTCTTGGGAGACCTTGGTGTCTCCCATGTCTTCATGTTCATTTTCCAAAGGAAATTGTGAGGTAAGGTAGATATCACGGGATCAGAGTGGAAGTGGACTCAAGATGCCATCTAGTTCCATTTGTATCTTAAAAAGTAATAAAGTAATCCGCTTCACAAAATCCCAGACAAGTGTTCAACCTCCTCTTCAAGAGTGTCTAGTAAGGCATGGATAACCCGTATCAGATTGTTTACCATCCCAGGGAGTGAGGAAGGGAGGGAGGGAGGGATAGAATTTAGAATGCAAAACTTATGGAAAAAAGAAAAGAATGTTAAAAATTGTTTTTACTTGTAATTGGAGGAAAATGAAATATTATTTTTTTAAATGTTAAAAGATGTTAGTGAGGGAGGGAGGCAGGAGGGAGAAAATAAGTATTTATTAAGCACCTACTCTGTGCCAGGCTCTGTGCTAAGTGCTTTACAAATATTATCCCATTTGATCTTTTTACCAAGACAACTCATTTCATTCTTAGACAGCCCTAATTTATTGATTTCTAGCCTAAAATTGTATATCTGAAAATTCTTCCCATTGTTCCTATTTTGCACTCCAGATTAAGTAGACCAAGTCTAATCTTTCTTTCTTTCTTTCTCTCTTTCTTTCTTTCTTTCTTTCTCTTCCTTTCTTTCTTCCTTCCTTTTTCTTTCTTTATCTTTCTTTCTTCCTTCCTTTCTTTTTCTTTCTTCCTTCCTTTCTTTCTTTCTTTCTTCCTTCCTTCTTCCTTCCTTCCTTCTTTTCTTTCTTTCTTTCTTTCTTTCTTTCTTTCTTTCTTTCTTTCTTTCTTTCTTTCTTTCTTTCTTTCTTTCTTCTTTCTTCTCTCTCTCTCTCTCTCTCTCTCTCTCTCTCTCTCTCTCTCTCTCTCTCTCTCTCTCTCTTTCCTTCCTTCTTCAGTCCTTCAACAATTTGAAAACATCTGCCTGTCCTCTTATGCCTTCTCTTCCCCCAGACCAAACATCCACAGTTCCTCTAACCCACCTTCACACTGCAGGGTCTCTAGTCTCTTCACTGTCCTGTTCCCTGTCCTCTGGACAAGATCCAGTTTGTTCATGTCTTTCCTAAAATCTCCATTTTACAGATGCTGAAAACAGGGCTCACAGAGTGAAGTTTCTGGTCCATACAACTAACTATTTAATAGCACTATGATTAGAACCCTGGTCAATTAGTCACTAAGCATTTATTAAGCATCTGCTATGTGCCAAGCACTGTGCTAAACACTAGACTCACAAAGAAAGGCAAAAGACCATCTCTGTTCTCAAGGATCTCACAGTCTAATGGGGGAAGACAACATGAAAACAACTATGTGCAAACAAGGTCATTTGTATACAGTTGGACTCTTAGTCCGATGCTTTTTGTCCATAAAACTCCGCTGCCTGGAATGAGGGTTGATTCATTCCTCATTAGAAAGAATGAACACATAAGGTGTGGTTAACCTGTGATTTTGTCAGTGTAGGAAGCTCTAAAAGAGGACCTTCCTCTTCCAAGGCAGATCAACACCTTCTCTATAATTTGTCACAGAGCAGCTATTCTTAACCTGGAGCCCATGAATTTGTTTTTTGAAAAGACATGCTATAACAATTTCAATAAAACTGGTTTCCTTTGTAATCTTATGCATTTTATTTTATACACTGAAAACATTGCTCCCAGAAGGGACTTATAGACTTCATCAGAGCACCCAAAACTTACAGGATACAACAAAAATGAGAAGTTAAGAACCCTTGTCTTAGGGAGCTGCCTGGGCCACTGAGAGGTTGATAATTGCCCTGCCCCAGCCAATAAGTGACAGACGTGTTTGAAACCAGGTCTTATTGACTGACTACAAGTTCTGCTCTCTGCAAGCCACTCTATGCTAACGCTCATATTTGACTTTTGTGTAAGAAATGACCACAGATATTTATATGTAACCCTTGGGAAAGAGGCACAAATTTAACATTCCATAATACTTATTAAATTAAATTAATTAAAATTTAAAATGAATTAAATAAATTAAAATTTACATATGTTCATTAGTCCTTTTGGATTACATTTAAACATCTTCCTTTTTTTTCTTATGCCTTTCAGAATGGAACTGAGTCTAAAGGAGGAAACAAAGATTAATTACTCCAGTTTTTTCCCAAGGAAAGCAGATGTGTTTTATGTCCCTTTTGTACTTCAGCTACATAGAAAGAATGGTTACATTTGAAATCCAGGGGACAAAAAAGGTCAAACTTTAGCCCACCAAAGCATCTCATAAACTAACATTTCATAATTTCTACCTGTATTTAATGAATGTGTATAATTTCTTTCAGAGACATCTTCTTTGGGCCGAAGATCTCTTTTGTGATCCCTTGCAACAACCAGTGATACTCTTGATAACGGCAGCATGTTATAGTCTATAGAGTTCAGGATATGGACCGGAGATTACCCAGGTTCAAATTCTGGCTCCAGCTCTTACTAACTGTGATCCTGAGGAAACTGCTTAATCTTTTGGAGCCCAAGATGCTAATCTATAAAATGGAGAAAATAGAACCTACCTCCCAAGGATCAAATGAGATCTAATGCTTTGCAAAACCTTAAAGTGCCATACATATTCTAGAGCATATCCCCAACAAATTTATACAATAATAATAATAAAAAAATTAACTGTTATGAGAGGTTGCTTCTATTCAATACCTTAAGGCAAGATGTAAATCCCTGGTTGTCCAGGGCAAAAAGTTTGCCAGGGTAGTGGCAAACAAACAAATATACTGATTTCATCTTTCCCCTTCCTTGTGGATGTTGATAGCACACTGATCTTGTAAAAACAATTTTATTGAAGCCTTTTGCTTTTACATCATAGTCATTTCCAAATATATTTCTCTTCCCCCTACACACACACACACACACACACACACACACACACACACACACACACATCTTTGCTAAGTCAATGGATCGGTAAATTTTCTATAGCCATTCAGCATAATCAGTAGAATATCTCCCACTCACCTTATTAACATCTATGACCTCTGATTAAAAGTTTTACTGAGAACTCACTCATTTCTAACTTGACACTTGCTGTCTTTAAGAGCATTTTAAAGGCCACCTTGAAAATGTGTTCCTTTAGTGTACACAGCTGCCACATTATATAACTTCACACAACTACTTACTGCCTGCACTAATTTGATCATTAATCTAAAGCAAACTTAATAAACGGATTAGAAACAACTTCCTATGTCATCTCATCCTGAAAGTAAAATCTACAAAATGCCACTGACACAGGGCTCTCCAAAGTCACCTATTGACCACATGGAGTCAAAGGGAAGGGGGTCACTGATGTGTATGATAAAATATTAGTTCAACTTTCAAGTATACTGGCTTAAACAGCCCTTGAGGCATTCTGCACTCAACATATTCTGCAAAATTCCCTTAGTGAATGGCACAAGCAATCAAAATGCTGGAAGACCTGAGTTTAAATACAGCCTCTCACATTTACTAGGTGAGTGATGCTGGTCAAGTCATATAACCTTTATCTGTTTCCTCATCTGTAAAATAGGGATAAAAATGACATCTACTTCAAAGGATTGTTGTTAGGACCATACAAGATAAATTAAAGTGATTTGCAAACCTTAAAGTGCTATCGATGTTAGGTATTAATGTTGTTGTTGTTGTTAATAATAATAATAATAATTTAGGATATTTCTACCAAATGCCCAAAGTTGAAAAGTGAAAAGAAAATTAAGCCCCTAGTAGTTGTTTCACTTACACAATGCCAGACTGATGATTTGGCCTCCTGTCTACTACCTCTCCCTTCTGAAATGGATTCTTTTTTTGAGCTTAGGTAGACACAGAATAAGTAAGCCTGTCTTTCTCCCCATGCTCTAAACTCCTTCTGAAAGAGAAAGTTTCAGAGATTCATTTTCCTTGTTTGTGAATATTACATATATTATCATCAGAGAATATATGTGGAAAGAATAAACTTTCTAATAACTTCTCACATTAGCATGACCAAAATCTAATGAGGAAAAAATGGTATTGGGAAAATAAGAATGCTAATGTTTCACAAACTGCTACTACCAAGTTATTAATTGAGAGAACTGTGCAACACTGGTGATAAAAATACTTGTTCAGCTTGTCTTGTCCTTTCTGAAAATTATCTTGTAACATGAAGTTCAGTTTCTGTCATCCAGTAGCAAATTAGAGAAGGAAAAATATCCTTTGTCATTTCCTATTAAAATCTTTTTTGAACAATATTACATGTAAAACATAAATATTGAAAAAGCTTGCTTTATATTACTCTTGCATGATGACATATGTTCTTTCTACATGCTGGTACACCTGTTCCTAAAAAGCAAATACTTTGTCCAACCATAGTAAATAAACAATGAATTAATGCCACATATTAGCATTTGAGCTTTATGACAACTTCTGGTTACATTGAAAAATCAACCAAGCTACCCCTTATTCTTCATAAAAATAAACAATTTCAGATGGCAAGCACTTCAGTACGGCATAAAATTTGACTTTCTTTATATGCATATACATGTGCTAAGCCTTCATTATTGTGGGAGATCTCCCATACATATGGTCCACTGAACACATTGTAAACAAGTAATAATACTTTTTGACTAATGATTTTCTCCATAAAATTTCTCTGAATTTCCTCCAACTGATAGCCTTTGCTATCAATTTTTAATTGGTTTTAATATTCTATGATTTACTTGTTTACCTTAAAGAGCCAAAGAGTTGGCAGCATTTTACCAAAATGGTAAACAAATATGTAGAGGAAAAATTAAAGACTTTGCAAATTTGCCCCCCTGTAATTATAAACATACAACTACATGCCTTTCCATTAAGGGTAATTTCAGATGAAATTTTAATAGGCCCTTTTAAGACTACATAAATAATCATAGAATCACAGTTACCCCTCCCCCCAAAAAAAAGTTGTATACAGTGAAAATGTCATTGTAAGAAAACCAGATTCATCCAATTCTCTATAGTCACAGACAGCTTGTATTCACATCACACACACACACACACACACACACACACACATTATCGAGTTTCACAAAATTTTAGATGATTGGTAGTGGTTGGCAAAGTTGCAGGGAATTCATTCAACTTAATTAAAATCATTTTAATATTTTTAATGTAATTGAGTGATTGAATTCTTTGAATTCCACAAAAATATCATAATCTTAAACACTACAACTTTGTAAGGGACTTCTAGAAAGAAAAACACATCTTTTGTATATGTTACTTATAGTAATTAAAAAACTATGGTTAGTTCTTAATTATATAGTAGATGTGCTCTATATCCAGAGGTTTTAAAATTATATTTGTGTGACATATTAAAAGGAGCAAATGATGAGATTCATAAGTGTATATACGTATTTACATATGTATGTATATATAAGAAGTCACAGATATACTACCTATGTAAATATTGTCCTTATGCCAGGGTGTCTGGCTATTTGGCATATGATTTTTTGAGGAGTGGAGGGAGATTCCAGGCTTCCCTTTTCTAAGTCCCTACCTAAGATGGTCATCTCTCCACTAGTCAGGCCAGAAGCTGGCACCAATTCTCCATTTGCAAGTACTGTGGACACAATTCGTTATTAAAGGCTCTATTAAAAATTAAGGATGGGTGGTAGGAAGCAAGCAGATAGTATATATTGCATAGTATAACTAACTCAAGATTCACAAAATTTTAGATGAGAGGTAGTAGTAGTAAGTTGGCAAAGATTCAATTAATCATATTAGAAAAAACATTTAAAACAAATGTCATCAAAATGTCATGCTCTTAAATGCTTCAACTTTTGTAAGGCATTTCTAGAAGGAAAAATATACTTATTGCATATTGGTTATATGTAATAATTAGAAAGCTATTGTTAAGTTCTTAGCCAGATACAAAGATTCCATAATGAGTACCTTGCGATTTCACCCTACTCTTAGTGCTCTGAGATTCCTGTTTTGTTAGTAGCCAGTGGTTGGGGCTCCCAAACAGAATGGATTTGAAGATGGGGCTATTTTTTGCAGAAATTCAACCTAGAGTCTGTTTTTCTTTCCCACCGTTATCTTCTTTGGGGTTTTTCTTTCTAGAGCTTCTCTCCAGAATTAGTTTTGTTCTGTCTCTATTCTCATTTATGGTGACCTATGCCTTATATTTATGTTTTAAAAAAACTTTGGAGATGATGTTGTTCATACAGAAAGGCTGCACCTTCACTCCCTGTGGCTTCTAGACCATCTCACCTGGTCCTCAGTTCACTCTTGGAAAGCACCAGGGCTTGTTAGTACATGAACACAAAGAATATCCAACAACAAGCCCAAGTTATATAAACATTGACACTAATGCTGTTTAATGTTGATCAAAGATTAGATGGATATTTGAAGATCTTATTCTGCTAAGCAAATATTAGTTGAACTAAAATGCTATGCATTTTGATTCTCAAGTTGGTAAACATAATTTTTAGCCAGAATGAGTACATGATTCCCAAACTGCATGATTATAATAAGTCAATGTTTCGAAAGAAACTATTTACTACCTTTTAAATCTGAAAGCCCATTAACATATAGCTGGGGGGGAAAAAAGGAAAAAATGCATGAGTAAAAAAAAAAAGCCTTCTCAACCAAGAAAAAATAAAACCAGTTTAACAGTTGTTGGGTTTTTTTTTAATTACTTACAGCTGGGGCAGCTAGGTGGTGCAGTGGATAGAGCACCAGCCCTGGAGTCAGGAGGACCTGAATTCAAATGTGCCCTCAGACACATAACACTCATTAGCTGTGTGACCCTGGGAAAGTCACTTAGCCCCAGTTGCCTGACCAAAAAAGAAAAAAAAAATTAGTTACAACAAAGGCTATAACCAGATATTGCATCACTGGCCCAGAAACTATATTATGAATTCTAGTATCAGGCCTTTACTTAGAAGTAATGCAGTGCCTGACTTTAGATATTAAAGTTTAGGTTTTTGACTTGTAAGAACTGATGCAAAATGAAGTAAGCAGAAGCAGGAAAACAATGTATATAACAGCTACAATAATGTAAATGAAAATGACAAGAATTTTGATCAATGCAATTTCAGAAGTCTGATGATGAAGCATGCTTCCCCACTTTGTGGTAGACAGGTGATAGACTACAGATGCAAATGAGACACATATTTCCACATATGGCCAATGTGTGAATTTGTTTTGGTTAACTATAATTAAGGGACAGGTTGTATTTGGAGGTGGGGTGGGGAAGAGTTTGTGAGTACTGCTAATGATGCCAAATTTTAAAAAAAAAAAAGAATGAAAGAAAGAAGAGAATGCCAATGAATCATATAAAATACATAGAAGAGAGAAATAATTTCAGAAGGGAACATAGATAAAGGACAGTTTTGTTACTATCATGTTAAGTTTAATATAGGGATAGGGACCAGACCTGTGATTTTCATTGACAAAGGAACCTATTAGGTAAAGAAATTTTCTGTCAATGTAGGTTAGTACTTCCTCTGTAATTTATGAGAGTTGCTTAGAGCACTGGTCATGCTACCAATATGTGTCAGTATGTACCAGTTTTCTTGGCTTCAGTATCTATATTGTGTATATGTATATATGTTCATTATGTCTATGGGTGGGATGGGTTCAGTGGGGAAGGTGGTATATTAGTGTATAGGATTTAACTCCACTGG